CCCCAAAACCCCAAAACCCCAAAACCCCTAAAGTTCTAATTTTTAAGATTGATGAAAAATTTAATCTTAAATATAGATTAAGAGATTTTGGCTAAAGCTCTACTTAATATTATTTCAGTCACCATCTCTGCTGTCGCTAGAATCATATAGATCTGGTTCTCTTTCATGCTATGGCAAGTTCTCGAGTATGTACATGGCTACAAACTTTACTGAGCCTCTTTTGGTAAAGAGCTGCTCATTCTATGGCTCTTTAGATTACTTCTTCTTTAATGCGAAAATAGCATCATTAAGAATAGTTCCGAAGGTATTGTTGAAGAATTTTCTCACAGGCATTTTCTTTTATGCCTCCTTTGTTTCAATTAAAGCCAATATGTTTTCAAACATTTTATCAGTATTGCACTACTCCTGTCTATCCTCAAATCTCTTTTATTTCTTATGTGTTGCAATTTTCTTCTCTGTGTGGAAATCAATCTCTTGTTTAAGAGTTCTGTATCTCTCGTCTTCCTCTTTGCCTGGACTAGTAGTGAATTTAACGTATTCTAATTCAGAAACTGATACACTGAAAACTATTTCCTACATAGCCTTATCACTCCATGGCTCTTTCTCCTCTACATGCACATAATTCAATATATAGACTTACCTTCTTAAAATTCAAATCTAACTAGATGCTGAGTTCTACTATATTGCCCAACTTGTTAAGCTAACTTTAGAAGACCCTCATTATCAACGATGCCTACATGTAATCTCTTAATATTCTTATTCTAATTCACTCCATTCATAAGTCTGGTGACTCCCTCTAGATCGAGTTAAATATCTCTCAATGCAATGTGATTAATTGGGTATTGATTGTTCTAAACAAGAGCATCTCCGATGTAAATGCCAGTTTTGTACTAAAGATTGTTTTTTGATAGATTAAGCTCAGTGATATTTTATCCTCCAACTTTATTTAAGACATCTGATAAGTAGAGAGCTGACTAAAAGGTATTAAAATCAAATATTACCAAATCAGTTAAGTCGTTATTGGATAAATCAAGGGGACCCGAGAATTTGTCGTTTTTTAAAAGTGCCAAGCAAAGTACTTTCACATCATCGTCTCTCAGTTTCTCTTCAGGTTCTCCCTTATAATCTAGAATGGTGATTTCCTAGCCTAGTATAATTATGATCAACCTTAGAATTTACCTGAAGAAGTTAAAGGAATTTGATTGTTCTCAAGATAGGGTAAATCTCTTTGAAATCTTCCAATTAAACTTGTCATCTTTTATTTTAATATTTGAAGTGATTATTCTAAAATCAATAAATTCAGATTGCAATCAATTATTTTAAAAAGCGTAATGGTTATTAAAAGTTCAGAGGCTCAAATATTACTCTAAAAGCTAATTTCTGATAAAAACTTGAGAGAAGATAAGGAGTTCAGAGACTCATTTGTTTAGAAAACAACGAATCCAAAGAATATCCCAGTATTCCTTAAACTAAGTATCACAACCTTAAATCTTAATGAATTAATAAAATAGGAATTTTAGATGTATTGGATTAGGTTATCAGAATCTCAGAAAATATGGATTATACCATTCCATTTCTAGGTGCTCTAGGCAAATATTTGGTCAGCGGCACAGATTAAAATATGCAAGAGATTAAAGAGTAAATCTGTGCTCCTGATAACAGGCTTATTGAAAAAATGTTCACAATAATAAAGAAAAGTACTAGGGTAGTTTTTCGAGAGGACTATGAAAATTCTAAAGCATTCAACCAAAATCCATCTCTTTACGATTAAAGACTGACTCCATCAATGCCTGAGGAAACCTCATATGGCTATGAGGATGCTAATGGCAATCGGTATTTCAATGATATTGGCCCAATGTACTCTTATGAGGATCTCGAAAGTAAGAATATATTTAAAATAATATTGAAATAAAGGAATGCATGATGATCCCAACTATAACATAAGACTCGAGGAATATAAACAAAGAGTCGAAGATAGGAAAAATGGGGTACCTATTAGAGAATATGATAATGCTAGAGATAAAGAAATACCTGGAAAAATGCTTTCTGCAGTAGATACAAGCCGAGCCTAATCTTTTTAAATCTAGCAGCCTGTAATTCAGATGGATGATAGACCTAAGCAACTTTAAAAATATGGAATAGTGCCTGGAACCTCTGAAAAGCATGGTGGCTAAGAGAGAGTTGATGTAGATACCCGATTAAGGTATTTGCTTCAATATCCTCCTAAAGATTCTGTCATTCTCAGTAGATAGTATAATCTGGATTAAATTGATTAAGCTAGGAAATAGCAATCTCACACTAACGCTAAAGTCAACATGAAAAACTTAACCAAAGCATAGAAATTGACAGTAGGGCCTAGGTTTACTTTTCCAAATTTCGTCAATGAATATGAAGCCTATTTCAATCCTATTCACTCATATGTAGATGAAAATGGACAAGTTATGCAAATAGACATGAATGGTGATCACATTCCAAGAGGATTTTGCTATAAGCCGGGTGCGATAATTTTGAAAATGACCAATTAAATGAGATATATCTATGTCCTTGCACTTATGATTTTAAAGAAGTGCAGCTAATTATTTAAACATGAGGTCCAAAAGAAAGCCATCTTCTTAGAGACTTAGTTGAATGGAAAAAAGACTACGAATTCATTGCTGCATACATTGGTATTTATCGTTTAGAAGGCAGAGTTTGAAAGGACTGTATTCCCTGATTTCCTGAATGAAATTCTAACAATTGAAGGTGATGTTAATTCTTAAACAGCTGAGATTATGTCGTATTTACTGGAACATCCATCAATTGTGCAATCATTAATGATGAATAATGACTTTTCATTCTAGGTGCTTGCATCTATAAAAGTAAGACATATATTATCATAAATTTAGAAAGCTGAGGAAGATTAAAGACAGAGATGCTTGGTCTAACTTATACGATCAATGATGTTTCTAACATACTATCCTAATTATAAATTAACGATGGGTTCTGATAGATCGATTTTGGAGATATATGCTTATAAGATGATAATTAAGTGCTTTTTGGAATCAGAAAAGCCTGACAATTTGCTTTTGTAATATCTAATTTAAACTTTTATCAGTGTTTCAAGAGACTCTAAATTTGCTTTTGTAATTTGAATTTGATTTAATTTAAAACAGCATTTGCTATAATCTATTAAGCTTGAGAAAATTGATATACTATGGAGGCTGTTGCATTATTTTAGCATTCTTGAGAATAATGGAGATGAATAGAAAAATCAAATCTAATTCTCACTGTTTGCTCTTGATATCCTGAACTAGCTGGTGTTCTCTAAGGTTTATATTCATCCTTATTATGCAGAAATGTAAGTTTAGACTATAATTTAACAAATCTAGGATTATCTTGGATATTTTAGAGAGATATTATTATGAGTAAATACCAATTGAGATTTTCGTTTCTTTGAATATGACTCTGGCTAAGCTTGCGGTATCTCCGTTTTATAGAGGAAGGATTACTAGAATGATATTTAAAATAATTACAACGCCAGTTGATGACGGCTCTGCCACTCCAGCCAAGCCGTCTCCTAAAGGGAAATCATCTAAGGCCTCCCCTGCTGCAACTAAGGCTTCTCCTGCAGGGAAAAATACTCCCTCAAAATCTGTGAAGCTTAGCAAGAATAAAATAAAGGAAATGAAAACTGCATTTATTATAGATGAGGAGAAATTAGATCAGTATCTAAAGAAGCTTTATAAAAATGTGAAGTATTTGTATTCATATTCCGGCCTGACTAAGTAATTGTTTAACGATATAAAAAACAATTCACCCTATATTCAAAATACTGAAGAGCAGTTTGAGAGATCTTTGGAGATTGTTGAATTGATAAAAAAGGGATATTATGATTAATGCTTTAATGAAATGGACATAGATAATGGTCCTAATGGACCATTATAAATTATGGATCAATTCAAAGAAGCAGTAAATGGTCTAGAAATTTTCATTTTCAATGATAAGTCAGGACTACTTAAATCAAGCGAGCTTGTTAAGGCCTAGGATGTAGAGAGCATGTTTTTGAAATATGCCTTCGAAGATAGTTTGAAACTCATTATTCTGAAGCAGATAAATACTGAAAACTAGGAGAGAAAATAGATTTAATAAAACCTACTCATTTTAAGTAACTCTCAAAGCAGATTGATTGATCAGAGTCTGTGCAGTCTTTGCAAGTAAATGAGAAATCTGGCTAATGATAACTTTGAGCAGATGATAAAGTTCTACTTTCAAAAATTTATTCAAATTAGTTTCGTATCTGAAGGTAAATCCTTATAGAGCATTCAATAAGAGAGCTAAGATGCAATGACCTTTGATAGAAATAAGGTCCTAGAGATCAAGCATATAGGACTCTTCTAAACTATCTTAAGTTTTCTTATACTTACTGGGATGGGTATCAATCATGATAAGACGAAAGAAGAACTTGAGTAAGATGAAGATGTAAATTTGGAGTTGAAATTAATAGTAGAGCTGATATAAACAACTATATGCGGGTAGAATGAGAATTTGCACACTATGGATTTCTTATGCTTCTCTATTATGGTGCATAAGATATTTCAAACTCATATTCATGGAGAAAAAGCGAATGACATGTTTCTAGAATTCTTTATTAGTAGAAATATATCCCAGATAGCTCATTCTACATTTGATATTGTTCTCCAGTCTTTAAAAAATCCAAAAACGACATCATTTGCACTCAACCTTATAGCAGCTGATTAAAATAACGTCTAATGTGTGATCCAATCATCAAAGAAAGGCAAAGTAAAAGTTGCCCAAAATATAAAAAAAGAGATGCCTTCAAATGATCTTTATCTTATTGACAGGATTGCAATCCATGCGGCAAATCATTATTCTTTGGTATTTATCCACATCTTGAACAATTCCTAGAAGAAATATCTAATGCTTATGCAAAAGAATGTGCATACCATAATGGAATAAACCCAACTATTGTTAAGCTTTTACGCTTAAGCAACTAAAATAGATCAATCATTAAAGATGATTATGAAGAGACTTGTTAAATCGATAGTTACACTTTACTTCGCCATCTATGAGAAGTTCTTCATTGAATATGAGAGTTTTTTTGCCACTCTAGATATAGTTAAGGTCACTGAAGTTGTTCAAGTACAAAAGGACTTTAAAAGCATTAAACTAGCAAATTAGATATAGAAGATGCTTCTAAATATCCTTAATATGAAAGAGGATAAATTGAAGGGAAATAAAAACTACTTGGCATTATTCAAAATTCTGCTGGAAAATGGCAGTAATTTTATTATGCAGGATGTACATAGAGAATTGAAGAAGTAATGCAAGGATTATCTTGCTTTCTTTAATTCCAAGTTAACTGGAGATGAACTTAAAGCTTTTAAAGATTAGCAAGTCAATATCATACTATGGTCAAAGCTGAGTTTCTTTCAATATTATTTCCAAAATCTCTCTTGGTTTTTGACCAGTGATGATGCAGACACCTTTTATAAGTTAATAAATGTAGAGATTGCTAAAAATGTTTGTATAAGTATTGGAGAAATGATGAGGAGCTATCTAGAAATATTATAGAATACTATCAATAATGTAGATGAAGATCTTCAGCAAGTTTATCAATCATTCATAGAGAACTTGATTCTGTTTTAGTGTTTGATGCTGGAGATACCAGGATACACTTAATTTCTGGGAGAGCAGGAGATCTTCACATTCACGCTTAGGAGTATTAAGCAAATTTAAAGTATTGGCGAGAAGTATCAATTCTCATGCACTGGGCTGATAGTTAAGGTGATACAAAGCATTACTGACATCAATGGATTTCTAAACAAAAATACTGAAATTGGATGGGTTTTACAATTCCTAATGGAAAGTGGTCAAAGAATATTTGAACATCTTTAATTCATTACCACAACAGTTAGAATATTAGCATCAGGCTGTACAAAGGATAAACTATATCTCTTTAGACCACTAGGAGAATACTTGAGAGAAGTACTAGACCAGGAATTCTTTGAGGATGTTAAAAGTCATTTAACTCAAGAGTAAATACAAATAAATTAGCAGGATAAGGAAAGTTTGGTTGATGAGGTAAAATTTGTATTGTCCCTACTAAAACCTGCTGATTTGAGCGAGATAAAAGATACAAACAATAAGATCATTTCAAATAAGGGAAGTGTTATATAGGCTGCTGGCTTAATGTCACTCAGTACGATAGATCAACTGAAAAATTATGACTCTAGAAACAGATTTAACTCTTCAGTTACAAGCTCTGCTGGGTTCCAGTTACCTGAGTATAACAGAGTTAATATGGTTGAAAAGGTTGATGATGAATTTTAAAAGATTATGGAGAAATACACTCCATAAAATTAGCTTGATTGGTTGGCTATTGCAAAGTAATCATAAAAACTGAAACCCCCTAGATAAACTCCTACCCAATAATCTCTCAGAAAAACTTAGAGTGTAGCCTAGTTTTATTTCTTTTAGGGGAAATTTAATAATTATTGATTGGTAATTTGATTATTTGAGTACTTTTTAATTTTTGATGAAATAGATTTAGGGGTTTTGGGGTTTTGGGGTTTTGGGG